CTCAGAGCAATACCGCACATGGTTCAAACACTTCATTTCAAATATCAGCAACGAATCGAACAAGGTAATCATTTTTTACGCCTGAATTTTATCATAGCAGTTGAAGTTGGTTGGCCTCCGAAGAGATGGCGCACGCGAATCAGATGGGGCGATGGATATACTAACTGAAAGTGGGCAACTCAGCTTCAGGATGAAAGATCTGGCATAGTTGTATCAGTTGTGTGGAAATATCCCAATAGTATCACTAACATGTGGTACTCAAGCTGGTCGCCCGGTCTTGATCACGGGTAATAAATCCCTAGCAAATGATTGTGTGGGGAAAAAGACGCTTTTTTTGCAGTTCTAATGTGCAAAAATCAACGAGCGGGCGGAAAAACTGATATTTATTGATAAAAGTAAAAGGCAGCACGGGCCTCAAAGGCACTGAGGGGGAAAGAAAGAGGGTAGTAACCAGGGCCAGGAACAACGGCCCATTCAGCGCAGGATATTGACCGGCAAGGGTCGCACCAACCCTACATGCAACAGGAATAACCAGAGGTAGGACGATGAAAACTCTATTTTATGAAAGGGTCTGGAACTCGATAAGGGGAGAGGGGAACGGAAGGTGCTTCGTTCTACTGGCGATTGCTTGAGTGAGGAAAAAGTAAACGCCATTTTGAAGATGGAAAGAGAAATGTGGGTCATGAAGAAGTAGGAATAGACGCGGTTTTCTATGAGGGAAAACTTGAGGTATTTTCTTCATCTCCAGACATGCGCTGTCTGCCGTTTTACAACTAACTTGTGATTTAAAAATTGTGGCCAGATTTGCGCTAAAATGGATGTATTGTTAAGCGTAGTGGAATAAAGGCGAATAAAATGTAGAAAAAAAGGGTTACCTGTCTAATATATGCGAAAAAATCAACAGTACTGTTGTGCCTGTACCATGCACGTGTTGTTATGAATTTATAGAGATTGCCGAAACTCACTTATGCGAATTGTCCAGCAGTACTGTTGTATCGGTGTTATGTGTTTTTCTCTCTGAATCTACAGAGACTTGAAACTAAAGGGGTTGATAGCGTGTATTAATATGAACGTTTAGTTGTGAAATCGAAACGACCGTATGTAGCTCAGGGTGAATGTTTCCCAATAACAGATGCTGCTGATAGTGAAAAGTGTCATTTTGCAGGGTCTCTATCTGCGGGTTATTGTCGGTGATGTGTCGGTGCCTCGTTTAGTATCTATAGATCCGGAAGAATTAAAGTCGCCTGCACTGTCGTCCGCGATTGAAATCCCAGTGTCACGGATCAAAGTTGAAGCGACCAGTGAATTATCCGCTGGCGCACCAAAAACAGAAACAAATGCTACAGCAGCATCGGGCAGTAGTGCGACATCATCAGGAGATAAAGGTGTCTGCTTTGTTTTATCCAGCTTTCTTCAGATTTTAATAAATCGGATTAATTGTAGAGAATTTTTGTATAGTTAACACTGATTTGCTGATGTGGTAATCCTTGATGCTATTTCAATTAGTCTAGGACATATCTTCAGCCGTTTTGAGCCTATCTTTTTCGTCATTGGGACTTGAGAATTCGGCCAAGTTTTTGTGAGCGGTACCCCTTTTCATCTTCACTGTCGCCATACCTTCCAAATCGTGATATTATGGCCGTGTGACCAAAACGTAGCAGCTGAGCCCCCATATGCCTCAAAGATTTCAGCTCTCCAACTTTCCTGATTTCCGAGTTGAAAGTAAGTGACAAATTTCACTCGCTTCCGCACACACACACACACACACACACACACACACACACATAGGGACGATCTTCCAACAATATGCGCTTTTGCTCACTGTGACAGGTCTGTA